TAGCTAAGAGATGGAAGCAACCTAAATTTCCCTCAGTTGACGAGAGGATAATGAAAATGTGGTTCATATATACGATGGAGTTTTACTCAGCAGTAAAGAACGACGAAATCATGAAATTTGCAGGTAAATGGATGGAACTAGAAACTGTTATACTAAGTGAAGTAACACAATCTCAGAAAAAAAATCTACATATGTTCTTCCTGATATGTGGATCCTAGATCCAGACTCTGATAAATAAGTATGCAACCAAACGTAACTACAGGAATCAGGATAATGGAAAGGAAACAGGGAGGTAAAGGAAAAGAAATAACCTGAAAGAGAAGAACAGTAGGAAACAGGCCTTAATAAGGGAGATATGGATAAAAATTGGGTTAGTTTGAGGGACGGGGGAGGGAAGGGTATACAAGGAACCTAAGGGCTAAAGGGAAAAAAAGGAGCTCAAGAGAGGTAGGACCGTAGGAGAAGGGTATTAGTAAGGGAGAAAGGGGGGAAATGGGGGTACCTTAAGTGGAAAAACCAGGATGGAGGGATGAGACAATGCGAGAGATAAATAATGCCTAGCTAGTTTTGAAAACCAGAGGGAACCATATTACTCCTACAACCTACTGACAAATTATACATAGCAGATCAAGAAATATATGTCTAGGTAAAGTTTATCTGAGAACAACTGGTCTTTGCCCAAGATTTATCTACATGACACACAGTAACTAAAAGTACCTGACTGGTGGAACTTACCTTCTCGGGTGTTTACCAGACATACTTTGAGACCTATACTAATCTGGTCAGAGGGACATAAAGGACAGTTTTTGCTCCTTGCCCTCCTGGGTCGACTAGTTCCAGGGAACTATGAGCATCTCTCAAAATGTCCTATAATGGTGGTGGGTCACCTGTCCTCTTGATCAAGGAGGCCAAGGGACCCTCACCAGATGGACTTGAACCAGTGTCCAATCGACAAAGAGGAGGGTCAACACAGAGGAATCACTTCCTCCATGGTTCCAAGCGAAGCCAACCATGGTTGAGAAGGCCTTTGACTTAATCTTCACATAGGCAGAACTGGTAAAAGAAAGGAGCCAGGGGCTCCTTCCAAGCCCATGTGACCCCTGAGGAACAGATCCTCAAACAACCTTAAGAGTAAAAATAAATTGGTTTATCTGCGCCAACTGTATGGCCTTAAACATCCAAAAGGAAAGTATAACCAAAGATTAAAGGGGTCAATATAATTTCTTAAGAGTCCATATGTATAGCTAAAGGCTACATAACAAGCAACAATGCCAGATAGGAGA